AAGACAGAAAACAGAAGGGTTCCCGCTGAGTATAAGCATTGTAAATCGCCCACCATGCGCTTGTCGCGTGCCTGTTGCCCCCTGGAAGAACAAAAATTCCGTATTGTTTGTTTCGGAGCAGAACAACGTCAGAGCATTGTTGTAGTAGTTGTTAGTGTTTATAGTTCCGTTTTTTGATAATCACTACTAACAAAACGACTCTTCCACTCTTCTGCTCCTGTAAGCATGATTTCGCCGCGACAGGCTAACTGCGGCTTTTCGTTATAGGGTTAGACTCGAGCCGGTTGGTCTGCGGTAGTCATGATCAAATATGAGCCTGTGACTTGAAGCAAAGAGGTCAAGGCCATAAGCTTATTGATGCCGATATTCGTGGATATGATCTACTCAGTGATCCACCACACCAAAGATCTAGTCGAGTAAATTTCTTTATTTCAGCTGAAGTTGTAACGGCATAGGATAAATTCATAAACAACTCAATATTTAGCTTTCTTTCACTGAAGTCTGTTGGCTGTCAGACCGCGTTTGTTCTCATAACAAAGTGTATACAATTGGATGGTTGTTAAATAAAGCACATTCCTTTGTGAGCGACCTCATTGTTTGATTAGAAGGAGAGACCGCTGATCTAAACGTGACAAACATTTTGGGAATGTTGAAAATGTACCTCATTCACTGTCAATAACTACAGCAAACTAAGCTTCTTTTATGCTAACGATTTCAAACATTCTTAAGAAGGAAGAAAAGCGACCCACATACGAATGTTTGTGATGTTATATCAAAGAATTACAAACTGAGTATTTAGTCATTGAGGAACGCGACCTTCCATATTCCGGACGGTCAGCAAAATCCCGGATTAGGCCATGTTCAGTGCTTGAAAATGACAAATTCATCTGGCTTTCGATCTGCGAAACCGTCTCCATTCACGAATAAATTGTTTGCAGCGATGCACCCAGTTTTGGTATTCGCGGAATGTAAGCTCCGAAGTAGGGGTATTTTTCTAATTAAAGTTTGAGGCCGGCACCCTCGTAATTGAAGGACAGCAACAGAAGCTACTTCTAATTCACGTTAAACTTCTGTTATCCTCACATAATGGGCCCCTTGAGTGCATTCCTTATATGGAAGATAACCAGCTTGACCATTGACTTGCTTGTACAATGGATACTGGCAAAAAAAATTCCCGCTGAAATGTGCAGAGAAAATGAGTCGAGAGGGAAGAAGGAATTCCATTCAGTTTTTCCGGTCGGAAATTTCTTGATATGCTTGCCATGTCGATGTTATGTCAAATGAAGACAATTCATAAAGCGAAAAGAGCAGAGATTTACATGTAAATTCGAAAAGGCAGACTCTACATAAAAGTTGTCCTATGAAAAATCCTTTTTAACCCGCAAAAAAGATATTTTCATATCACAACTATCTTACCATGATATATTTAACAATTATTCGCCGAAGGCGAGGTGAATATTGTCGAAAAATCATAACATTTTAGTAACAATTATTAACATTTTATTTGAACATTTTGTATAAACCGCGTGGAGCGGTTTAAATAGCGTCATATAAGGAACCGCTCGACCAATCAGATTGCTGGAAACTCTTTGCTCAGCTCTGAATTTATACTAAAAACATATATAAATATATTAATATGAGAAAGTTTTTTTTCTTTCTCAGAAAATTGAAATTCCCAACGCAAATTTCTTTTTTTCCTTCACTTTCACCCAAAATACAAAACGTTCATAGAAAGTTGAGAAAAAAAGTTATTTTAAATAGATTCTAGTCGGAATATATTTCAAATTTGCGTTGTTACCATTTTGAAGATAAGAAAAGTTTGCTCTCGTTCTCAAGTGACGTCACGGTTGCTAGGTAGCAGTTATTGACAATTCCTGAGGGTCGTCATTGGTTCTCATCTCACCTACGATCTGGTCACGTGGCCTCATGCTCGGTCCTCGGGCTGGTCGGTCTGTAACGTCATGGGAAGATGGCGGACCCATTTACGGGTGGCCAAAGCTCTAGAGCAAGTAATGCCTTACAGAAGCGACAAGAATCCTTAAAAAGATGGACCAAGAGCGAGACAGCCTTAGAATCTTCGGATAGGGCTAGAAAGAAGACTAAAATTCAATTTTCGCTCGGAACTGTGTTCCTTTCGGCGGTATCGAGCGGTGACGTGGAGGAGGTAAAGAAACTTCTGGCCAAAGGCGCAGATATAAATCACCAAAATGTCGATGGACTTACCGCGTTACATCAGGTAAGGTATTTGACATTCTTGTCAGAGAAAGAAAAATTATGTTTGAAGCGAGAGCAGCTTGTGCGAGAAGGTTTTGTAGACCAGGTCCGGGGTCCTAGGCAGAACCCAAAACAATAGCCTAATTAAGGAATCACTCGCTCCTTAAAACAACGAGTGATTACAGAGCTTGCTTCTGGAAAATTGAATTTTTAGATGCTGCTTCATTTGAATTCTTACTTGGCTAAAGTCAGACAATAAATCAGTTCAAATCCTGGCAATTATAAGTTTTTGGCAAGGTAATTCTCAAATGCTTGTTAACGCCTCGAACTATTAAGACCACATCCAAATGGTTACAAGGAAATTTATGTCGACTTCTAAGCTCTAAATTGCAACCATTCTCTGTATATTCCTCTCACTATTTTCAGTAGTCTATATTCTTGGTATTTAAACTCTTCCAGCCGAAACATTCCTCATCATGTATTGTGTCATATACCTTCAAGTGAGCAGCTTTAGGCCGAAGGCAACCTAGTATTTCGGGGTATTCAAGTGATTTTCGAACTAATCACTTTCCGTCGTGTGTATTTACATCTGTTCCTAGTAATGTAGGCTTTTAATGGTTGTTTGTGTTCTTCAGGCTTGCATCGACGAAAGTTGTGATCTCGTTGAATTTTTGGTTGATCATGGAGCCCGAATGGACATACGAGACAACGAAGGCTGGACGGCCTTGCACGCTGCAGCCAGTTGTGGGAGCGTTGAAATAGCACAGTGAGTTTGTGTTTGCTTTATACATTTTATTGTAATCTTCTCTCAAACCGGCCTGGCATTGGATTTTAACTGGGCTTGTTGAGAAGCTTTTATTGTTAGCGGCATTTCATTCACATTTAACACAACTAGCTTAGATCTGTGGTCTATGTCAGTTCCAAATTTGTATCGCGTTTCAAAACATGCAAGGAACTCGGTGCAAATTTTAGAGGCTTCTGCTTCAATGTGTGGGGTTTGTGAAGTCCGAATCACTGAGGTGTTTCTGCGATTTTGCTTTGAGGCTTTTCCAAGTCGAAAGAAGGCAATAAACCTTTCTCCCACCAAAGAATAGAAGTCATAATAAGTTACTCTTCAATCGATTAGAATCTCTTGTCAGTTGGAAAATTTATATCAAATGGCCTAGCTTGTATGAAATACCTTTGAAGTGCTGTATCCCTGGCGTTCGTTTTATAACCTAGTCTGTTGCTTTACTTCTACTCTTTTGTTATCTTTTCTGTGGTACGGTACGGAAATGTTCGGAGCAATGTTTGAAGGATACCAGATCAGTAGTTTATATCTTCAAAAGTATGTATGTGTGTGTGTAAGTCGCGGATGGCCTAAATTCATTAAAACTTGCTTTGATGTAGTCGTTATAATTTTCGTTTATAACTTTAGGGATCTAGACTTTGATGCTCTTGAAATTTATATTCAAGTGGCCTTCACGTTTCACTTTAACCAAGTGTTGTATCAATTTTTGAGTGGCTGCGAGATGGTCAAATTAAAAGCGTGACTTGTTGCATAGTACGAAACCGTGTACACTCATTCACGTAGCTAGACATGTAGTTTGAAAATCTACAACTGGCCATGCAAATCCGCGTAAATTTCAAGTCATTCTTATTCTCAGTTACAACTGGGAAATCGTTTAGATTATTTTCGGAATCATGTACTGTGGAAATTTAAACACAGCTTGTGAACCTCTATCGTGGTTTGATTTATCTTTACGCCAAATCTTCTGTCATTTATACCTTCACGAGTGAGCTAGACATAAGTTTCGAGTAAGCTGTTCAGTTCCTAAAATCCTCTAGTTTTTGTTCAAGGCTGGTTTTGCAGGGTTTGTTGAAAAGAAACTTTCAGTTGCAACTTCGGTGGTGAAATATTTTGATCGAGAACTCCCAACTATTCCGGAAACAGCATGCCTACTAAGAGTGAAACGTAGTGGAATAGAGCATATTGTCTTAGATCATAAACCTTGATACCTCGTGTTTCATGGTGTTTACTCTTACTTTAGATCTTACATCCAAGTCACAGAAACAAATATTTGTAATGGACAAAAATAACTGTGGGTTTCCTGGCACACCGAAATAACCCTAGTAAATTTAGTTTGTTGCTTTGGAAGGCCCTTCAATAACATAATTGCTTGCTCGTCATTGTTCATGTTTCAAACAATTTGCACTTTTATTACTGAACCTTTCGATAATGGTATTTATTTTTGTCAGACATGCATGATAAGTCATTTTCTTTTCTCAGTGTTTATCACTGTTACATGTACCTTGGACTGAATAATTTTCATTCAATAGTGAACTTGATCTCTTGTCTACACAATCAGCTAAATTATAATCATATCACTTTTCACGAAAGTTTTATTCATTAAAAAGTTTCCAGTTCAGTGTAACTTTGTCAAAAAGTATATATTGTACATGTAAACATAACTTTTGGATGCTGTGTTTAATTTTGGAAATCCTGGTTTTAATTATTGGCACTTAAATTTAGTGGTAAATCTTTCCCAATGCTACAATGAATTACTTTTAACAAATTTTCATCATTTTAATTTTTGCAATTATGTGGTATTCCTCAAGGTCTGGATTGGCTGACATGAAGATTATAACAAATAATTTTCTTTAAAAATTTCCATTCTGAATGGATGTATGCAGCAGGATGTGTTTCAAGGTTGGAGCATTTCTGAAATCTATTACTTTTTGCTTCATGGACTTAAATTTTTGGCTCAGAGCAACAGATTTCAAGCAGAAAAATTAGATCAACCGAGAAATTAAAACTAGTCAAGTTATGTGTCAAATACAATAAGCAAAGTCATTAGGTTGGGATTGTGTTTGTTTACTTCCAGTTCAACAATTAAACTGAGATGCCTTTTATAAAAATAGTTTTGATTAGGCAGACGAGCTTGTCCCAATGTGTCAGTTTTGAAGCAGATTTCTTCATTTTGCACATGTAAAACCATGTGTGTTGTTAAAAAAAAAAAAAGAGAAGTTTAGGTTGAAAAAGGAAAGTACCTGAAGATTGGGTCACCATTCTTGGTTACCTGGCCTCTTCATATTTTTAAATGTTGAAAAGTACATATTTTACTGATTTGAAATACATGAGTGTATGTGTCAATCCATACATACAGACTTTTTTCCTTTGAGTTCTGGAGTAGAGAGACATTGAAAAGAGGTAGACAGATCTGTGCTGTAACATTTAGAGTTGATATATATTGTCATCTCGGTAATGTATTCTGCATTGTATTCTGTGAGGTTCATCTTAAATGGAATTCATTTTAGTTCTGAGTATTTCCATAACCTGCTCTGGCAATATAGTAATTTCAAAAGTCAAGTTTTTCACAGTAGTCATTCTTTGCAGTTATGTTCTATTTGTGCTATCAAATTGGCTGTTTCCACCTGGGGTGTTACTGATTGTCAGCAAATTTTGAGAGAAAATTCAGTTCCAAAAAACCCTTATAGAGAGATATCTATTGTGTACAGCTTAGTTTTCCTCTATATACTGTTATAGCTGATTATTTGAAGATGTACTCAAAGTGAAGTAAATGCAATTACAGATTGTAAGCTGGTGTTGTAGAATGTACTGTTAGAATGTCTGGTTAAGGTGCTGTTAGAATGCCAGTATCTACCATTTATAGAAATCTTTGGACAAAACTGAGGTCTAATCAAGATGAAAGTTGTATGGAATGGACAGCAGTAGTGGTCAGCAGTGGCTAGGAATTTTCATGAATAGCGCTACTAAAAAAAGTGATGTTGATATTTTGAGCCAATATATTCACATGCACTCAGAAGCTGCCACAAGTTATATAATACTTTGTGGTCATCTGTGGGATAAAAACAATTATATTTTTGCCAGGAATGTAAAACAAAGGGAAATAACAGTATGTGGAGTCACTTCTTTGATTAGAAGAAATTTTAACTAATAGTACTTTCAACATACAACAAGATGTTTCAAACAGTGTTTAAATTCCAGGTGAGTGGCAAAGAAAATGCATAGTTTTAATTGAATAATGCCACTCCACCTAAGGTTGCATTATATGTAAATGTATAGTATATGTGGTAATTTTTCTGATAAATGTTGTGTGAGAAAATGTTTCCACACTTTTTATAAGAATTTGGCTCTCATTTCATTATGAGCATAAACTTCATATGATATTGTGTGCTGTTCTTTTTGTTACAACAGCAACAACTAAAGTACCTAAAGTTAACTCCTTTAATTTAATAAATTCATTATTCTCAGAATTCCTTTTGAATACATTCAGTTTTGGAAATGTAGGTATATTTTGCTTAGTCATGGGAATTCTTATTTTTCAAACTTTCAAACTCCCAGAATTTTTCCTAGAAGATTTCAGTCTCAAAAATGTTTCCTAACAACAAAGTTAAAACCTTAGATTTCCATGCCATTGGCTGGATATAACTTATATACCAGTGTACATGTTTGGTATGTATTTCTATGAAACAGTGGGAACAAAATGTAATTGAAGCATAACTTAAGACCCTCTCCTGAGGGATTGTTCACTGGCACAGCAAAGAATAATGTCGCAGTCTTGTGTTGGGAATGCTATATTAGCAGAGTTATCATTGAGAAATTAGTCACTGAAACTAGTTGAAATCCAACCCTCCACTTCTGTTAAAAAAAAATTAAATGAAACTAGCTCAGGAAATTTATGATCTTTATACATAGAAGCCAAAGAATCACTGATCTCTGAAGCTTGATGAACACCCTGATTAGTCCTGTGGTACAGTCCCACTTCTGTGTCTCTAAACTTTAAGGCTAAAGAAGTCAGTGTTTGGGTCTCGCATATTCAGTTTTTGTTTTTGGGGATTTGATCAGTAGTGTTAAGGAAAGGAGTTAGATACAGAAATATTTCCTATATTCCATACTTGTATCACAGAAAGGCATTTAGAAATTACAGGGTGTACGTATTGCTACATTTTCTATTCCGATGAAATAAGGGAAAAGCGATCTAAGGCTTTAATGAGAAAGTTTGTTTCTTGATCAAGTTTCACTGGTAAGGAAGGCATAAGTATTGACACCATGGAAGATGCAAACCTTAATTATTCTGTACATATTGACAACAAATCAGTTTTTTTTTTGTTTTTAATATATGTTCTTCTTTTGAATATCAAGCAAAAAACCCTTTGGTTGGCTGCTGAGAGTATTTTACAAGGAGACTGAAGGCCTCAAGAACAGATCAACTGTTTTGTAGAATCCTAAGCTGCAAACCTAGTATTAAAACAGCCTCTGCTTCATGTACACTCAAAACATGATTCTGTTTTGTTGATTTGTAGATGTTTACTTGACCATGGAGCAGATGTGGCAGCTGTTAATAATGAAGGGGAATTACCTCTGGATCTTGCTGAGGAAGAGGACATGGAGGATATTTTGACAGAAGAAATTGAAAGATTAGGTAAATTTTTAAGAAAGAGGTTACATGTATTTCTTTTGTCTCAAAGCTGAAACTCTTTGACATATTATTAGAGCATGAAACCTGAAG